GCGTAGTCGAACGGTACACACTCGGTAAGTAATCCTATAATTTTTTGTTTATAGCGTAGTTTATACGGATTACTCCCAAAAAATTATACGTGTTTTGGAAATGTTGAGTGGAATTAGTCTAGAATCGGTTAATTTTATAGAAGAAAACCTTTCGAACAGCCTTAGTCTGTAAAGTTCACACCTATCGGGCTGCGATTGGCTCATGTATTTAATCATTCCTACAATGTAAATTTTGATTAGCTGTACAGGTAAACTGTAAACTGTACCTGTACAGGTATATGAAATAAACCTGATATATAATATTTGATTTCATGATATTTTATTAGATTCAATGATATTTTATTTCATATACCTGTACAGGTATATGAAATAAAATAAAAATTGTTTTCTGTTAATCTTTGTAATAATATCTGTAAAACCAGTATAACAAGTCCTGATAATAGAAGATACGAATTTATAGTCGAAAATTTACATATTAATTATGTAGTAAGCTTTAAAATGTTTAATTACTTTAATGATTTAATTAACAAATTTTCATTAATAAAAAATTTAATTATATACTATTACAGCATGCTAAACTAAATAAAGTATTATGTAGTAGCTACTTTGAATTCAATGGATTCATATTGAATCTCTGTTAAGAGGACAATGTTCTAATATATATTTATCCAATTTTTATGAACAGACACACTTTAATCATAAAAATTGTAAATGTAAATAATTAAATGTTTAGTAAATAATTAATAATATATATCTTTCTTCTGTTTGGAGTACAACAGAGAAAGAAACATCAGTGTAATTTATTTTGGGGAACAGAATTGGGTGTGTATAATCTGTGGGAAAAAAGATATATTGTCTTTATAGAAAAATGGAAAATTTGTTCCAGACTTTATCATATTATTTTTAGTGATTTTTAAACCAATTTAAACTCTGTTTAAACAAAATATTGCAGTTTTGGTTAAAAAATTAGAGGAAAGACAATTGTAACTTACCCACCTGCAGAATTTATAATTAATCACACAAATTTTACTTTATGTTTTATTTGACCTTTTCAATTAAACACCAAAAACCTCTAGAATTTAACACCAAATGGCATACAAAAGCTATTCCACATTGAAGGAATTGGAAGAAATGCAATTGTACAAACAAATTATCAAATTTCAAATTAAATTTTTTCTGACTGCTTTAGTAACCGGATAAATCAGAATGAAAGACTGATTATTGCTAGACATATATCAAATAAGTTGTAAAGAACAGACAAATCTGAACAGCTGTATGACTAAGGCAATTAAAGAGTTGGCCTATTGCTATGAGAGACCTGGGATTGAATCTGTGAAGTTAAAAAACCCCACAAAATTTTTCAAGCAGGTATGTACTGGATATATCAGATCCTGTCCTCAATATTTTGGCTGAACCCACAAATGATATGATTAAAAGGGTATTAACATTATTATGAATATATATTGGCATGAAATTATAGCTATAATTAAATACATTGTAATTAAATGCGATTGGATCACAGCTATTAAATAAAAATTGAAACTTACCGGTAAATTAGTAAAAGCTTCAAATGTACTCTTCAAAAATGCAATCAGATCAGTTAAATAATTACTAGCTTGACCCTGTGGTTCATTTAATAACCAATCATAATTAGCTGTGAGAAAAAATTTTTAAAGTTACAGTCCAGAAGTACTCAGCAGAGATAAATTACAAACTTACTAAAACACCTGTCCATTTGCTAAAAGAATTTTTTGTTAACAAATGTTTTTAGCCTACTCGAATAGGTTAAATCCGTTTTTAGAAAATGTTCCACAAATAGAACATTCCATATAAATTGAAATAAAAATTAATATTTCAAAAGTGAAATTAATTAAATAAATAAATTATGAAAAATATAAGGTTAACAAAATACAAATAAAAAACTATGAAACTATAACACAAAAGCTAAATATGATTATAAGGGAACACAATTATGTCCTAATTTTTTTTCAATGATGCATTTCAAAGCTGAAGGTATTGTTTTTGCATTCTTTGCATTTAGGCACTACTCTTAGATCTCCCTGTTTTAAATTTGTATTTAGAATACAGTGGGTGATCAGTTAACGAACATAATCCATTCCAAGACTTTGTTCGTTATCTGAATTGTTTGTTAACTGATTATCAAATTACCATAGGTTTTTATGGGAATTTGATTAATTTGTTCTGGAGACCCCAAAAAATAAAAAAATATATACTTTCTTACTATATTTGTTTATATGTAATAATAAAATACATATATACGCAGTCTTGCATTTTTATTAGTCATATTTTTTCCATTTGTAGGGGTTAAAGAATCTGTCCAATGTCGATTGCTTCTCTCTCTTCTTCAGGATTTTTCGGAAGTAATTAATAGCATTGTTGTCATAGAGATCCCAAGCCTATTAACCTCAACTTGGTTTGGATGCCATTCTAAGACCGTTGTTCTGACACCCTCCCACTTCTTCAAAAGATCTTTAATAGCAGATGTAGGCATTGATCCTTTTTCATCTTCCTCTTTTTCAGACGAAAACACATCTTGCTGAGTTTCTTGGTGTTCTTCATTTAAGCATTCTTGGAGTTCTTCTGTAGTCAGATCAGTTTCAGATTCCATTATGAGCTCTTCAATGTCATCTTTNAATTTAATTTCTACTCGTACAGTATATTATAAGTATTTATGAATAAAAAAAAAGGAAAAAAAGTATACACAAGAAGAGAATCGAACCCGAGCACGCAAGCGTATGAGTCAGGAGAGTTACCACTCACGCCACAGCACGCTCAAGTGGAGTACACACAACTTATATATAAAGTGCTAAAGAAAACTTTAAGTTCGTTTTTCTCGATTATATTTGAGTGTTGCACTTTAGTATTTTACAGGTAGTACACTCACATGGTGTACTACCTCTACACCAAAGATCATCAAAAATCTGTCTCCTTGTAAGTATATATATACACTGGTGGAAAATGAAATCCCAACACCAAGAAAGAGTTGTGCTAGATAAACGAAACTTGGTAGGTATGTTTTCATATCTGAAAGATGATGTCTATTCAAATTTCGTGCTAGATGAATAAGAGTGATGTGAGTAGCACCACTATGAACATGCAAATCATGTTTGCTGTAAATACGGGATGTAAACTTGTTGAGCATTATTTATTGTCTAGACTGAATGTTGAGAGTTAAGGTTTGAGTCAAGAATGCCTTCAAGGAGACAAAGAAGGCAGTAACAGCAGCTTATTGAGTTTGAATGAGGCAATGTAATAGGGCTATGAGAAGGTGGATTTTTTTTCTGTGCTATTGCAGAAAGACTTGGCAGGGATGTATCCACTGTGCATGATTGTTGGCAGCTGTGGTCAAGGGAAGGTGCTGTCTCAAGAAGATCTGGGTCCAGTCACACACGGTCCACTACTGAGAGGGAAGACTGCCGTATTCAGCGCATGGCTGTGGCTCATCTTACTGCATCTGCAGCAGAAATTAGAGCTGCTGTTGGTGCCAGAGTGACCCAGCTAACTGTTATAAATTGATTACTCGAGGGACAGTTTCAAATCAGATGCCCTGTGGCATTCATTCCACTAACTGCAAATCACTGCCATCTGCGACTTCAGTGGTGTCAAGCAAGAACTCATTGGAGGGCAGAGGGGAGAACTGTTGTGTTCTTAGATGAGAGCTGTTTCTGTCTCGGTGCCAGTGATGGCCGTATGTCATTTAGGAGGCCAGGTGAGCACTTGGAACCAAGTTGTCTGTGGTGTAGGTCATGTGTCTATGACAGCAAGATTTATGGTCTGGGGAGCGATTTCCTATGACAGCAGAAGCATGCTCGTCGTTATCCCAAGCACCTTGACAGCAAATTTGTACGTCAGACTGGTGATTGAACTGGTTGTACTGCCATTTATGAGCAATATTCAAGGGGATGTTTCCAACAGGATAACGCTTGTCCTCATACCGCTGCTGTCACCCAACATGCTCTAAGGAGTGTTGACATGTTGCCTTGGCCTGTGAGATCCCCAGATCTTTCTCCCATTGAGCTCATATGGGACATTCCGCATCACCCACAACCATGCTGGTTGTAGGTGATGCGGAATGTGTCATCCAATTGCTACTATTGCTAATTTGACTGACCAAGTCTAACAGGCATAGAACTCCATCTCACAAAATGACATACAGCACCTGTATGACACAATGCATGCACATTTGCACGCTTGCATTCAAAATTGTGGCAATTACAACGGTTATTAATTTACCATCATTTCACATTTGAAACAGATCTTCTCGCACATACTTTAGCCCGTGACCTTAAAAATTCAATCAAATATATATGTTACCTAGACAAATGCTTTGCCTGAATTTTATTCATATGAATTAGTTGAAATTAGTTTAGATGAATTTCATTCATCTAAACTAATTTTTTCTTGGTGTTGGGATTTCATTTTCTGCCAGTGTAAATTTAAAACCCATGTCACGATAACAATATATAAAATCTAGGATTTTGAGCAATGGGTCAAGCATATTTGTTCAGAACATTTAACATTTCGTGTATTATTATTATTCTAATTCTGTTGTATGAGCACTAATTAGGCTATTTTTTCCCCATACCCATTGTGGGTTTGGCAAAGCCTGCAATGGGGAGGCCAGATCAACTACAAAAGATTTGAGGAGTTGTTTGCCCAGGTTCCCTGGAGCAATGCCTTAAGTGCCTCTTCCTTCAAAATTTTATTAATTCATTGATGTGTGTGTCCATTTTTATGATTAAGTATTTATAAACCTTGTGCTATTTTTCCACATTTAATTATTAAATAAGGAAAAAACAGCACAAGATTTAGAAATATATAGAATAAATTTTACCTGTTCATTTGGATTATGCCAAGCTTTGAAATTGCTAGAAAAAATATGTAAGTCTAGCAATATGAATTGCTGAACACTAATAGTAGTTGTCATATTTTCATCATTATAACATTTAATTTAAAATATAAAGAAAATACTCTCAATATTATGATTAACTGTTTATTACAAAATGGATGTTTACAATTTTATACATGCCATTTTGAAATATCACTTGCAATGGCATCATTTTGACAATTGATATCAGGTTGTTTTCTTCTTCTTTCCCTTGCTTTATTTTATTTATTTATTTTTATATAAACTTGAGCCTTTTTTTCCTCTTTACTCTTACAGTTCAAGTAAAGGTCCCCGTATTTATTTGTGGATAAATACAAAAAATGGAGCTTCGATTAACTTTTTTCACGTCGGGTATGGAAGCCAACATTTCTAAATAGAGTCAATAAGAGCACAGTTATGTGAGGCACACTATTCTTGAGTTTCGTCAATTTAACACCTACGTTTATATTGCAAAAAAAGGAGAAGTCGTACTTTAATCTTACCTTAGATTCCGCAGCTCGTAGAATTTCAAAATAATTTTAACGTTCATGTTTATTTTTTCGGGACGTTGTTAAAGATGGTTTGTGCTAAAATATTTTAGATCACAAAAATATATATCGTATATTTATATACTCAATTTAACAGTCGAAAGGGAAAGTCGACAATTTTTCGTAAATCTAACTAACGAAAGCTCAAATTTGCATAGACAATTTTAATTAATTTTTAAATACAAATAGATAAAATAAAAAACCAATGTCATAGTTACAGTAAAAGTTCGATATAATGACTTAAGAACTAATCACAATTGCAGCTATGACTTAAAATGATTTCTAAACAAATTTATTGCTTTTACAACTGAATAAAACTTGCTATTATACTAGAGCATTACTAGAACAATAATTTAAATGTTAGTGTTTTCATCATTAAAAAAAATAACAATAATTACATAAGTTAACATGGAATGTTTTTTTATTGATAATATTTATTTATGGAGGGCTTCTTTTGGATGAGAATATATAATTTCTTTGCTTGAACTGCATTGAATATACTTCAAAAAGAGTAAATTTATATCATTTGAAAACACTAAACTTTAAGCAGATGCACACAAGTTGTAAAATTAAAGCAAAACCAAACATTGACACCAGGGTCTTTTGACTTTGCCAACTAAAGTGGCAACAAGTTCAACCAATTACCCAACATTCAACACCAACACTGTGTGTCGGTCTTTTACGATCTCTAGTATCTTTATATCGAACTTTTACTAAATTAACTGGAAAGTATGTAGCATGGAATAAAATTTTTGAGGATTTGTTGAGAAAATATTATGCGGGAGTTTGAAACCAGAATAGAATTCTTTTCCCTCTGATGCGAATTAAACGTTATCTTAAATATTTGACATACATTAACCATATTCCAAATTTAAATTATTTCATTTCAAATTATATATATATATATATTTACACATTTTGATCAGTTGCATTATGTAACAATAACAACAAAATTATAACAATATAAATAATAATGGGAAATGAAATTTCTGTATGACCAACTACATTATTCAAAATATGTGCCGTATATAAAATTTTAATGCGCGGATAGGAGGGGGAACGTCTTCGAAACTGGACACGACTCTAGCACCTGGTTTAGCAAATTTCTAGTGTGGCAATTTTTCTCACAATTCATGTCCAAGTTTGTGTTCTATTGCATCGGTTATTGGTCATTGATGCAATTTATGAGAGGTACTTTGTTTTTGGCTTTTTTTCTTGATGACCAAACTCTTGGAAGCAATTGTAGGATTAACAATAGTGAACGAATGATTATCATCTTGCAAGACTATAAAATTTGGCATTTATTAGAACTATGAAGTGCCATTTGCTGTTAATTGTTTTAATTGTTTGAGAACAGTTTCTAATAATTTTTTCTTATCTCTCTCATTCTTTTTTAAAGATGGAAATAAGTTCTTTTTTCGATCCGCTTCTCTAATTCTACAAAAATAAAAACAAATTAAAATTTTATACACATTTATTTATAAGATTTTTACAAATACTTACTTTTCTAGTAGAATGATTGCAGTCTGCGGATTAACCCGTAAATATTTGCTAGATTCTTGACCATAGTCGTGAAAGTACGTTGACCAATCCCACGTCATAAACAAATCTAAAAGCTGTATGTTCACAAATAATTTTATAACTTAAATATAAGCAATTGTAACTTATTAAAATAATCCTTACTTGTCGCAGTTCAACAAAGCACATTTGAAGGGCACCGTCTTCAAATCCTCGAACTGGTTCGGAATTAGCAAATACTAAAAATATTTTGAATGTTTCAAAAGTTAATATATATCATCATCTATAAGTTTATTTTTCATTTTCTCTGATGCAGTTATTTCACTATGAATATGGAATAGGTATACTTGAGTTGTATTTAAAAAATACACTTAAGTGTATTATTTATGTACAAAAAATAAATGTTACTTATTAGCCAACAAGCTGATAATTAAATTTTATACAAATTCAAATTAGTTAAGTAAAAGTTTTGTATGTTTATTATTAAAACTGAAGATAAAAGTATTATAATAATTATTACTATTATGACTTTTTAATAAATAATACCATATTCTGCATTATATAGAACAGAATTTTGAATTTTAATACTGTACACACTCAATTAGATCTATGGTCCTTGAATTGTAATTTCTAAATTACAGATACTGTAAATGCATGGAGTCATTATAATTTGAAAATTACAATAAACAACTAATTTAAAACAACAATGTGAATTATTGCATGATATTTTATTGTCAATTTTGATTTGTTTAGATATAATTTTTGTTTAATGACTCCTGCAGTCACTTGCACTAACACATACAAAAACTAATTTTGAAAAAAACTCAGATTCAAATAAGTTCATGCCCCAAATGGATTTTAAAAAACAGACTTGCAGTCATCTATTTGGGTGCTTACATTATTATTAATTAATTAAAATTATTTAAAATTCAATAACAATGAAAAATTTGAGATTAACTTTCATTTCTACTTTCTAGAGGATTTACTTATGATGAATCAAATATATATTGTTAATAGAAAACATATTTCTCACTATCATTGATAACTCAAATAATTTATTCTCTTGATTATGTAGAATATTAATATAAAATAGTTTTTTGTATGTTGGGGTATTAACAAATTTTTCATTTATAAAGATTAAGGACTTTTAAATAAAGGTTGTTTTGTTGATTTGATTAATTACTGTCATGAAAAATGCTAATTCTGGAGATGAATAAAAAAAACTTTTTTTTTTAATTCCGATAAAAATTAAAGTTTTAATTTAAAATTTCAATTATTCTATGATCTAGAATATAGAATGTAATCGAAGAATAATCATTCTCTTCACGTTGGGTATATATATTATATTCATAATTTTAATAATCACTTAAATGTAATAAATTTCAAAGCAGATATAATTTAATAAAAAAAGATATCTTAATTTTTAAGTTATTTACTTACATTCACATTGAATCACATCAAGATTAAATTGTTGGAGGGCTCCCATAGATATGTATTTGACATCATTGTGTATTAAAAATTCCATTAAAGCATTGCTTACATGTTTACAAGCAGACATACAAGCTGTCTGTGCAACTTTATCCTATAAACAATAAAAATTTCTTAAATTAGAAGTTAAAATATTATTATGCATTTTTTTCAAATTTGTTGTTCCTGAGATACATGAAAATAATACAGAAAACTGATTTTGTACACACACAAATAATGGAGACAAATATTTATAAATTTAATATATCTGGTTATGAATTATTTTAATTATCAGATAATCTCTCAGATCTCTGTTGTAATTATTAACTTGTTCCTGCAATATTATGCAGTATGTTTAATTAAATTGCCTCAATGTCCTTTTTTCTTATTAATATGTAAATTTTCGACTATAAATTCGTATTTTCTATTATCAGGACTTATTATACTGGTTTTACAGATATTATTACAAAGATTAACAGAAAACAATTTTTATTTTATTTCATATACAGTCGACCCCCTATAACGTACGTTCCTATAACGACAATTCCTATAACGTAGCGAAAAAATTGTAGCAACTTTCGTATAACGTACCTCCTATAACGTCGTTTCGCGACAAGATTGATAGAGTCTGGACCAATAGTGGATGAGCAGCCGAACTACTTTCCTCCGACCCTGCGCCACGCTACGGAGCGGCTAAATTGAGTTTGCTATCGTCTGTTTAGTATTATATATAAATTATATATAAATTAGGTACTGTACATATAATTATATATTAATTATATATAAATTAGGTACTGTATATATAATTATATATTAACTTAATTTATTGTAACTTTATTATAATTATATATATGCTTTCTGCCGCCTGGCAACACGCTACGGAGATTTTAGGCTAGTAAGTTGAGTTTATTATCGTCTGTACAGTATGTAAATTAGGTACCGTAAGTCTAATACAGCACTAATTTTATACATTTCTTGTGAAAGAAACACTTCTTATTCAACGTCCATAAAAATTATTTATATTAATGATGTCTCCAAAGGTCAAGTTATTTTTCCGCCAAAAATTCGTTATCAGAAATTGCGGCCGTCGTTTCGTGTGCTGTTCCGCGATGAAAACCAGCTTTAAGCAACGGCGTAGTCGAACGGTACACACTCGGTAAGTAATCCTATAATTTTTTGTTTATAGCATAGTTTATACAGATTACTCCCAAAAAATTATACGTGTTTTGGAAATGTTGAGTGGAATTAGTCTAGAATCGGTTAATTTTATAGAAGAAAACCTTTCGAACAGCCTTAGTCTGTAAAGTTCACACCTATCGGGCTGCGATTGGCTCATGTATTTAATCATTCCTACAATGTAAATTTTGATTAGCTGTACAGGTAAACTGTAAACTGTACCTGTACAGGTATATGAAATAAACCTGATATATAATATTTGATTTCATGATATTTTATTAGATTCAATGATATTTTATTTCATATACCTGTACAGGTATATGAAATAAAATAAAAATTGTTTTCTGTTAATCTTTGTAATAATATCTGTAAAACCAGTATAACAAGTCCTGATAATAGAAGATACGAATTTATAGTCGAAAATTTACATATTAATTATGTAGTAAGCTTTAAAATGTTTAATTACTTTAATGATTTAATTAACAAATTTTCATTAATAAAAAATTTAATTATATACTATTACAGCATGCTAAACTAAATAAAGTATTATGTAGTAGCTACTTTGAATTCAATGGATTCATATTGAATCTCTGTTAAGAGGACAATGTTCTAATATATATTTATCCAATTTTTATGAACAGACACACTTTAATCATAAAAATTGTAAATGTAAATAATTAAATGTTTAGTAAATAATTAATAATATATATCTTTCTTCTGTTTGGAGTACAACAGAGAAAGAAACATCAGTGTAATTTATTTTGGGGAACAGAATTGGGTGTGTATAATCTGTGGGAAAAAAGATATATTGTCTTTATAGAAAAATGGAAAATTTGTTCCAGACTTTATCATATTATTTTTAGTGATTTTTAAACCAATTTAAACTCTGTTTAAACAAAATATTGCAGTTTTGGTTAAAAAATTAGAGGAAAGACAATTGTAACTTACCCACCTGCAGAATTTATAATTAATCACACAAATTTTACTTTATGTTTTATTTGACCTTTTCAATTAAACACCAAAAACCTCTAGAATTTAACACCAAATGGCATACAAAAGCTATTCCACATTGAAGGAATTGGAAGAAATGCAATTGTACAAACAAATTATCAAATTTCAAATTAAATTTTTTCTGACTGCTTTAGTAACCGGATAAATCAGAATGAAAGACTGATTATTGCTAGACATATATCAAATAAGTTGTAAAGAACAGACAAATCTGAACAGCTGTATGACTAAGGCAATTAAAGAGTTGGCCTATTGCTATGAGAGACCTGGGATTGAATCTGTGAAGTTAAAAAACCCCACAAAATTTTTCAAGCAGGTATGTACTGGATATATCAGATCCTGTCCTCAATATTTTGGCTGAACCCACAAATGATATGATTAAAAGGGTATTAACATTATTATGAATATATATTGGCATGAAATTATAGCTATAATTAAATACATTGTAATTAAATGCGATTGGATCACAGCTATTAAATAAAAATTGAAACTTACCGGTAAATTAGTAAAAGCTTCAAATGTACTCTTCAAAAATGCAATCAGATCAGTTAAATAATTACTAGCTTGACCCTGTGGTTCATTTAATAACCAATCATAATTAGCTGTGAGAAAAAATTTTTAAAGTTACAGTCCAGAAGTACTCAGCAGAGATAAATTACAAACTTACTAAAACACCTGTCCATTTGCTAAAAGAATTTTTTGTTAACAAATGTTTTTAGCCTACTCGAATAGGTTAAATCCGTTTTTAGAAAATGTTCCACAAATAGAACATTCCATATAAATTGAAATAAAAATTAATATTTCAAAAGTGAAATTAATTAAATAAATAAATTATGAAAAATATAAGGTTAACAAAATACAAATAAAAAACTATGAAACTATAACACAAAAGCTAAATATGATTATAAGGGAACACAATTATGTCCTAATTTTTTTTCAATGATGCATTTCAAAGCTGAAGGTATTGTTTTTGCATTCTTTGCATTTAGGCACTACTCTTAGATCTCCCTGTTTTAAATTTGTATTTAGAATACAGTGGGTGATCAGTTAACGAACATAATCCATTCCAAGACTTTGTTCGTTATCTGAATTGTTTGTTAACTGATTATCAAATTACCATAGGTTTTTATGGGAATTTGATTAATTTGTTCTGGAGACCCCAAAAAATAAAAAAATATATACTTTCTTACTATATTTGTTTATATGTAATAATAAAATACATATATACGCAGTCTTGCATTTTTATTAGTCATATTTTTTCCATTTGTAGGGGTTAAAGAATCTGTCCAATGTCGATTGCTTCTCTCTCTTCTTCAGGATTTTTCGGAAGTAATTAATAGCATTGTTGTCATAGAGATCCCAAGCCTATTAACCTCAACTTGGTTTGGATGCCATTCTAAGACCGTTGTTCTGACACCCTCCCACTTCTTCAAAAGATCTTTAATAGCAGATGTAGGCATTGATCCTTTTTCATCTTCCTCTTTTTCAGACGAAAACACATCTTGCTGAGTTTCTTGGTGTTCTTCATTTAAGCATTCTTGGAGTTCTTCTGTAGTCAGATCAGTTTCAGATTCCATTATGAGCTCTTCAATGTCATCTTTATTCACTTCCAATTCCAGATCTCTAGCAGTTGTCACAATTTCATCCATAATTTCAGGGACATCATCTCTGTCTCCCTGAATGCAGGAGGACACAGCTTTCGCCAAGCAGAATTCAACTGTCATTGAGTGACTTCTGACCATGCCTTTTGAATGAGCCGTATAGCTTCAAGAATATAAAATTTTTCTTTCCAAAATGTTTTAATGTCATCGTTGAGGAGAACTGGCATGCTTCAAAACACCAACGAAACAATGCTCAAATGTACAATTTCTTGAAACCTGCAATAATCTCTTGATCCATTGGTTGAATCAACAAAGTGGTATTCAGAGGTAGAAACTGAACTGTCAGCCAGGGAAAGTTTTCCAGCAAATTATCTTCAAGGTCTCTTGGGTGTCCTGGTGCATTGTCCAATAGCAACAATGTTTTTAATGGCAATTCATTAGTCTGAAGGTAATCCTTGATGCTTGGAGAACAAACTTCAAACAGCCATTCTTTGAAAAAAAGCCTGTGTGACCCATACCCTTTTATTCAATCTCCATATCATGGCAGTTTTTCTTTAATTATGGAATTTTTTTTAAAATACTCTAGGGTTCTCAGAGAGTGATAGGCAAGAAGTGGGATAAGCTTCATATCACTGCTAACATTAGCTCCCAAAAGTAATGCCAATTGATCTTTTATGGGTTTATGCACAGCAATATTTTTCTCTTCTTTCATAACATAGATACGGTTAGGCATGCGCTTTCAAAATAAACCAGTTTCATCACAATTGAAAATTTGTTGTGGACAATGCCCTTCTTTTTTTATGAATTCTTCAAATCTGAGACAGAACTCAACTTCTTCATCTGCACTAGCAGACTCACTGTAAATTACCATATGTTTAATGCCAATTCTCCTTCTAAACTTAGAATTCAAAGTTACTACTGGATGGTTTTCAATCTCCTCGTGACGAATGTGGAGTTTGTTTCTTCAGTTCTTCAAAAATTTCTCTAGCTTTCTCTTGAATGATAGTCATACTAGTTACATCTTTTTTCATTTCCCTTTCTTTTATCCAAATTAAAAGCAATCTCTCTATTTTTTCATGGATGAAACATCTTTGTTTCTCAGATGTGATTTTCGTTACTCCTTTAGCTCTTTGAGTCTTCTTGATTATATCTTTCTTAGCTAAGATTGTGCCTACTGTAGACCTGTTCAAGCCATATTGCCTAGCAGCATCAGACATGTTCTGCCCACTCTCTGGCTATTATCTCTTGCTTGATTTCTATGGTGAGCACAGTTCTTGACACTCTACTCTTTTTATGCTCCATAATATTATCAATTTCTGTTTGAAATAAAAAGTTCAGAAAAGCACACTCAAAAATTAAGAGAACAGAAATTAATGCATGAAAGAATTATGTAAATGTGAGGCCCGAATGTAATTTGAAATTTTGGTGTTAAAACTTTAATGAATACCTGATAGGACTGTTAAACTCTCACTTTTAGAAAATAAAAACCAATGCAAAACTTATGGAGTGCCTAACAGTCTTGTGAAGACTATAAACAAATCATTTGTCAAAAAAGTAAACAAAAAGCTGGAATTACAATGGAGAGTTTCAAAGTTTGGGGAAACACTATCCAATCAGTATCGGGTTGAGCGTCAATGTTGATGTCTCCTGCGCTCTGAAAGGTTTCGAATTGTTACCTGAAGACAGGAGAAAATCAATCGTATTCTTTATTTTCTGTTGCTTCTTTTTATGTTTGTTCAGTGAAGTGTTCGTTGTCCAATCATAAAAATCTTTCGCGAAAGTGTTTGTTATCCGATTTGTTCGTTAACCAATCACCCACTGTATTTTAAAAGTTAAAATTTGTATGGAATGTTCTATTTGTGAAACATTTTCTAAAAATGGATTTAAAAACCTGACGATGGCCTATTCAAGTAGGTTGAAAACATTTGTTAATAAAAAATTCCCTCAGAAAATGGACAGGTGTTGTAGTAAGTTTGTAATTTTAAAGGTAACTTTATGAATATATCTTACTAAAATTTATTTATCTTTTATTTTTTGTAGTATTTCAGAAAGAAAGAAAAAAAATAAAATATGACTAAGACAAGTAATTAATAGCTAATAAAAAATTCATAATAAATATACAATAAAAAATTTTTTAAAATTTAAATAATTAAATCAGATATTCATCTTTATCCACAATTTATTATTGTGTAAACTTGTGTTATAATTTCTCATATAAAATACAGAAATGTTTTCTTACTGTTAATAGAGAGGTTGCAGCCGAAGTTCAAACGTTAAACTTGTATGGCAAGCAGTACATGTTTGACATTTGAACTCCAAGTAAAACACATTGTGCGACACATTCGCGTCACACACTGACTCATGGAATATTGTTGAAAAATGGCAGAAACGTTTAATAATGATGAATGTTACCAGCGAAATTAAACTGTTTTAAAGTATTTATAGGATGTTTAATAACACTAAATAATTATTTTTAATTAGCGTTGTGTCTCCTACTGTATGATAGGACTACCTCATACTTTTGTTGAGGGAAGTAGTGGCTTATGTAAATCCAAAATCAGCTTGGGAAATTATTTTTAGAAAATTTACAAACATATTACGCTGTTGATGGTAGAAGATGCTGTGAAAGAACAAACCTACTCCTACAGAATTATGATAAGTTATTATGTACAGAATATATGTAAATTCTATAGGCATTTCACATCACTTGCAAAAAAATTGAATAATTAAATAATTTCTGGATTAAAATCGTCCATTTCTTTACAATATTATTCATAAATGCTTAAATAATCATTATTTTAACCACAAACACAAAAAAAATGAAGAAGTTTAAGCTGAACTTCTACTCGCCATGCTAGATGTAGCAAACGCCATTATCAACCTTCTAGAATTGCCAGATGGCGGTGTTCAACATCTGACGTTCATGTTTTGAGCTGAAAATGTCAGCTGCAACCTCTCTAATTTATTTGGAATAATATATATTTAGATACAGTAGAGCATCAATTATCCGAAACTATTTGGGATTGGAGTTGTTCAGATAATTGATTTTTTGGATAACCAATTATGTACGAAAAAATATATTAACCTATCTCATGTTGAAATTCATTCAAATCCTTGTACATCCTTAAGTACCATCTCATGGTCGCACAGTGCTGCCAGCTAAAACATGCACACCAACAAAAATAATATTGGAGCAGCCTAAGAGATATCCAAATATTGCAGTGCCACAGCACTAGCAGAAATTTAAATTTTCCGACTGGAACACTTTCGGTTAACTGATATTTCAGTTGATCAATGTTTTGGTTGATAGATATTCAGATAATCGATGCTCTACTGTATGTGCAAAACAATTGTATTAATTTATCATTTATACTGATAAGTATTATAAGATTTATTTTAAATAGCAATAAGAACTAAAACTTCTTAACTGAAAAATGATTATTATTAACATCTGTATGTTTCATATCATATATTTTCTTATTTTTAATAGTAAATCTCATGTAAAACAAATAAAAATTAAATTTATAACTATCTATTTGACAAAAGTTATGTCATCTTTCTTGAAGTTTACAGGTGTTTTAAAAAGTTCTATTAATTCATAATAAATAATGATCTCCAGTGAACATTTAATATAATAATTTAGAATTATTTTACAGTTATGTAAAGAAACAAACATGCAATATGAAACAAAATAATTTTGATTTAAAAATGTAAAAAATTTCATGTATAAAAGTTCTTTAACATATAAGACAAAATATATAACTAAAAATATAAAATCTCAATATAAAAAATTTAAAAATATAATAGATAATCTGTAAATATACATTTTTGCCCATTTTCAATTATTAATAGGAATAGAAAATTAATAATAATTGTGTATTGCAAAACATAAAATAACAACAACCTTGTGGAAATATGGATCTGTATTTTGTTTCTGGAAAAAATTAGAATAAACAAAATAGCAACTGCCTAAATTGTCTATTCATGAAAATATTTTTACCAATTTTGAAGATATGATTTTCTATATAGAACCATATGTTAGAATGACTTCAAAATTGGTAATTTTGTGTACTTAATCCTTAATTTATACAGTACTGGAATAGCATGATTTCAGTTTAACAGAATCAAAAAATTTGGAAAGATTTAATTTGATACAATAGAATTTTAGTTTAACATAATTTAAAAATTAACATTTGTATTTGCTATTATGACATTGCAACTGCATCACCACCAGATTCTGTAGTGGTGATGCAGTTGTAATAGCCATGAGTGACCAGTATGGCTATATTTAAATTAATTAATTAATAGCTCTGGGGACACAGATTTGACAGAGCAGATGTCCAAGTAGCTTAATTGGTAACACAACTTCATGGCAAGCAGCAGTTGCAGATTTGAGTCCCACTTTGGGCTAATTCTTTCTTCAAGAATATTCTAAATTAAAAATTAGATTTGTTTATAATTATTAAATTTATCAAGAGATGGTATACTAACTGCCTACTTCTATCCAAATTATTTTGTTTTGGATTATTAATTAAGTGTGAATAAGCCTCATAAAAATCTAACAGAATGTTTGGTAATTCCACTAGTTTCAATTTACATGTTCAGAGAGATGGGAATTCTCTTTCTGCACTATATCTAAACTTTATATATATGTATTATATCTAAGTCCCTATATCAAGAAATCTATAAAGAATTAAATAGAAACAAAAGACAAGCTTTGAGAATGAATTAGATCATCAATGTCTTTGGTAAAAAAAATTTGGAATCAAATAAATTAGTAATAGAAGTGATGCAAGATTTTCAACTAAAGAATGAAAGAAAAATTGTTTCTTTATTAACAACCAGAGACACAATAAAAGTCCATCTTCATTAATCTTTATATCTTATGTTTATATACATACACACATGCATGTATATATACATAAATAAATAAATAAACAAAATATTTAAAGATTATTTTTTATACAAATGTGATAAATACAAAATTAAACCATTCATTTTATATTGGTGAATAAAAACTTCAATATTGAATCCTATCCTTCCACTTTCCTTATAAATGTTAGACTTGTTTACAATCTGTCATGTAAATTCATGGTTAGGTGTATTTTGTTTTGGAAGGAAAATATTCTATCAATTCAAAACTACAATTTCTTTTGAATTCCAGAATCTAATTCTGGAATTATTTGCAAATTTATAATTTTGTGTTTTAACACAAATTGATGAAGAAAACTATATATAAGCATCCATTTTCTTGAATTTGTGTAATTTCTATAATGGATTTTTTTTATTAATAACTTACCTAATTCTAAAAATTCATCAATTTTTTTATTTAACTGTTGATATATATGAGCTTCAGCATCAGCTCTTGCATCCTAAATGATAAAACACACTTTTTATTTTTTAAACATCAATTAAAACCATTTTAAAATATAATGTGAATTGTAATTAATCTACCTTAAACATAGATCGACTCTGGAGTTTAGCTAAATGAGAACTATCACTTGTAGAACTATAAAAAGTTCTTTAACATATAAGACAAAATATATAACTAAAAATATAAAATCTCAATATAAAAAATTTAAAAATATAATAGATAATCTGTAAATATACATTTTTGCCCATTTTCAATTATTAATAGGAATAGAAAATTAATAATAATTGTGTATTGCAAAACATAAAATAACAACAACCTTGTGGAAATATGGATCTGTATTTTGTTTCTGGAAAAAATTAGAATAAACAAAATAGCAACTGCCTAAATTGTCTATTCATGAAAATATTTTTACCAATTTTGAAGATATGATTTTCTATATAGAACCATATGTTAGAATGACTTCAAAATTGGTAATTTTGTGTACTTAATCCTTAATTTATACAGTACTGGAATAGCATGATTTCAGTTTAACAGAATCAAAAAATTTGGAAAGATTTAATTTGATACAATAGAATTTTAGTTTAACATAATTTAAAAATTAACATTTGTATTTGCTATTATGACATTGCAACTGCATCACCACCAGATTCTGTAGTGGTGATGCAGTTGAAATAGCCATGAGTGACCAGTATGGCTATATTTAAATTAATTAATTAATAGCTCTGGGGACACAGATTTGACAGAGCAGATGTCCAAGTAGCTTAATTGGTAACACAACTTCATGGCAAGCAGCAGTTGCAGATTTGAGTCCCACTTTGGGCTAATTCTTTCTTCAAGAATATTCTAAATTAAAAATTAGATTTGTTTATAATTATTAAATTTATCAAGAGATGGTATACTAACTGCCTACTTCTATCCAAATTATTTTGTTTTGGATTATTAATTAAGTGTGAATAAGCCTCATAAAAATCTAACAGAATGTTTGGTAATTCCACTAGTTTCAATTTACATGTTCAGAGAGATGGGAATTCTCTTTCTGCACTATATCTAAACTTTATATATATGTATTATATCTAAGTCCCTATATCAAGAAATCTATAAAGAATTAAATAGAAACAAAAGACAAGCTTTGAGAATGAATTAGATCATCAATGTCTTTGGTAAAAAAAATTTGGAATCAAATAAATTAGTAATAGAAGTGATGCAAGATTTTCAACTAAAGAATGAAAGAAAAATTGTTTCTTTATTAACAACCAGAGACACAATAAAAGTCCATCTTCATTAATCTTTATATCTTATGTTTATATACATACACACATGCATGTATATATACATAAATAAATAAATAAACAAAATATTTAAAGATTATTTTTTATACAAATGTGATAAATACAAAATTAAACCATTCATTTTATATTGGTGAATAAAAACTTCAATATTGAATCCTATCCTTCCACTTTCCTTATAAATGTTAGACTTGTTTACAATCTGTCATGTAAATTCATGGTTAGGTGTATTTTGTTTTGGAAGGAAAATATTCTATCAATTCAAAACTACAATTTCTTTTGAATTCCAGAATCTAATTCTGGAATTATTTGCAAATTTATAATTTTGTGTTTTAACACAAATTGATGAAGAAAACTATATATAAGCATCCATTTTCTTGAATTTGTGTAATTTCTATAATGGATTTTTTTATTAATAACTTACCTAATTCTAAAAATTCATCAATTTTTTTATTTAACTGTTGATATATATGAGCTTCAGCATCAGCTCTTGCATCCTAAATGATAAAACACACTTTTTATTTTTTAAACATCAATTAAAACCATTTTAAAATATAATGTGAATTGTAATTAATCTACCTTAAACATAGATCGACTCTGGAGTTTAGCTAAATGAGAACTATCACTTGTAGAACTATAATAATAATAATAATAATGAAAAAAATCAAATATAAAAAATTGAGAAAGTATTAAATATAAATAAATAAATAAATAATCAGATTTGTTTATAATTATTAAATTTATCAAGAGATGGTATACTAACTGCCTACTTCTATCCAAATTATTTTGTTTTGGATTATTAATTAAGTGTGAATAAGCCTCATAAAAATCTAACAGAATGTTTGGTAATTCCACTAGTTTCAATTTACATGTTCAGAGAGATGGGAATTCTCTTTCTGCACTATATCTAAACTTTATATATATGTATTATATCTAAGTCCCTATATCAAGAAATCTATAAAGAATTAAATAGAAACAAAAGACAAGCTTTGAGAATGAATTAGATCATCAATGTCTTTGGTAAAAAAAATTTGGAATCAAATAAATTAGTAATAGAAGTGATGCAAGATTTTCAACTAAAGAATGAAAGAAAAATTGTTTCTTTATTAACAACCAGAGACACAATAAAAGTCCATCTTCATTAATCTTTATATCTTATGTTTATATACATACACACATGCATGTATATATACATAAATAAATAAATAAACAAAATATTTAAAGATTATTTTTTATACAAATGTGATAAATACAAAATTAAACCATTCATTTTATATTGGTGAATAAAAACTTCAATATTGAATCCTATCCTTCCACTTTCCTTATAAATGTTAGACTTGTTTACAATCTGTCATGTAAATTCATGGTTAGGTGTATTTTGTTTTGGAAGGAAAATATTCTATCAATTCAAAACTACAATTTCTTTTGAATTCCAGAATCTAATTCTGGAATTATTTGCAAATTTATAATTTTGTGTTTTAACACAAATTGATGAAGAAAACTATATATAAGCATCCATTTTCTTGAATTTGTGTAATTTCTATAATGGATTTTTTTTATTAATAACTTACCTAATTCTAAAAATTCATCAATTTTTTTATTTAACTGTTGATATATATGAGCTTCAGCATCAGCTCTTGCATCCTAAATGATAAAACACACTTTTTATTTTTTAAACATCAATTAAAACCATTTTAAAATATAATGTGAATTGTAATTAATCTACCTTAAACATAGATCGACTCTGGAGTTTAGCTAAATGAGAACTATCACTTGTAGAACTATAATAATAATAATAATAATGAAAAAAATCAAATATAAAAAATTGAGAAAGTATTAAATATAAATAAATAAATTATTATTATATTTATCTTACCCCGTAATATTGGAAATAAAAGCTTCCAAATATACACTAGCACCTTCTAAATAATTAGTATTTATCATAATTTGAATGAGCTATATAAAGAAAATGTCGATATATATTTTGCATTGAATTACATCATTGGATTAATGTTGTAAAAACTAACCTGAAGAAGACCTAATGTGGGCTTTTTTATTAATGTTGACAGACAATCACTTAACGTTTCTGTCAATAACATATTTGTAGATTTTCGAACCATATCTTCTATTTCTGTCTGGCTAAGATTAACATTTCAAGAATGATTTTTAGAATTTGTTTCAATCAGTTTAATTAAATATTTTATAGTAATTGTTAAACATAAACTTTTAATTAGTTTTAATAAGAATTAATGTATATTTTACACTTTTTTACTAAATGTAAGCATTTTGTCAAATTCACTTATATATTTTAAATTTGGAATTTGAAAATTGTTCAAAACTGCATTCTAATTTTGAAATTAATTAAGAAACCAATTGAAATATTTTTTTAATAAAAAAAATTGCTTACAAAAAGATTGTATAATTCATTTGTTGTAAATGTAATAGCTTTTTCATTTTAAATATTAATGGCATTTCTTAATTAGAAAAAGAAAACAAACTCTCTCTAACCTTAAGTGTAAATCTTCAGAAAATTTAAGACAGGTATATATAAATTCTTTAACTTGACCATACACTTTAGGTACAAATAAAGAAAATGGAAATTTCTTCGGAAAAGGAGCCTAATAACAAAAATGTTTTCAGTAAAAGATTTAATTTGTTTTAAATTAAATATTAAATATTTAATTTATACCTTGCTTAAAGCTTCATCGTTATAAGGGAAGACTTGAGTAACATTATCAAAATCAGTTTGATTTTCTACTTGAATTGGATGATAATTATCTTCTTCAAAAATCTCATGAAATACTTGAACCCACTGTTTCATTAAAATCTTATTATACTGATCCCTAATTTCTAATAGGAGATCAAATAATTGCCCAACATGATAACCATAACTCTGAAATGGAATGAATTAATTGACAAATACAAATCAAGCAAATTATATAATAATCAAAATGAAAAACTTTATAATAATGCAATTCTTACTTGAAGAGTAGAGCTAAAAAGAAGAATAAGCCTCTTGATTTTTAACATTAAATTGGGATCAGAACAGTATGCCTATAAAAGATTAATGTCAATCAAATTATATATATTTTTATAGAAAGAAGACCATTCAAATTATATATGTATAAATAAATTAAAGAAAATTGTAATTATATCTGTAACACAGTTGCATTCAAGGAATGTCAAATTTAGGTGATTACATGAATAAGAGTTATTAAGTTAAATACATTTTATAAAAAATATTTTGATTGGTCTTTGTTGATTTCAAGTCAGGCATTTTATAGAAAAAAAAAAAAAAGTACTCACAGAATGAGTTCTTAAGGAAGCAATGATGGTAGAAAGTGCGTTTTTCCAAACTTCATCTAAATANTTGTTTTGGTTTTGTTTTAAAAAGATTTAACTGTGTTAAGAGGAAAGAACTATAAACCAAGAAACAGAAAACAAAGATTTAAAGTAATTTTTGCATCATATTTTAGTTCAAGTTTAAGTATTGCATAACAATATCAAATCAATATAAAAACAAATTCTTAATAACAAAAAAATACAGAATCTGAATTAAACTCTACAATCATATAATTTCATGACATTTCTTTAAATAATTTATTAACTTCAAACATGTAGTTCAAAATGATAATTATCATAATTTATAATACTTAAAACAGTAAGTTAGCATATCTATACTAAATCTTCAAATTATATATGTATAAATAAATTAAAGAAAATTGTAATTATATCTGTAACACAGTTGCATTCAAGGAATGTCAAATTTAGGTGATTACATGAATAAGAGTTATTAAGTTAAATACATTTTATAAAAAATATTTTGATTGGTCTTTGTTGATTTCAAGTCAGGCATTTTATAGAAAAAAAAAAAAAAGTACTCACAGAATGAGTTCTTAAGGAAGCAATGATGGTAGAAAGTGCGTTTTTCCAAACTTCATCTAAATATGTTCTATTTACAAGACCATTAGCTGTATTTAAAATATGATCTTCTACTACAAAAAAGCTGAAAAAAAAATATTATATTAAGTAAAAATTAATTAAACTACCAAAAAATATGGCATAAATAGTATAACCTGTCCTTTATTAATAAGAAATCATTAAACATGTATTTAAAAATTACACTTTAAAATCATGTTTCAATAAAATTTTTAATTTTAAAATCTTAACACGGTTTACTTGGTTATTATAAAAAAGAAAAAGTAATTATTAATATGATTTTTTAAGATTTTAAAAGCTATTTTAAATTCTAAACTACAAATTCTAACCATAAAGATAGAAAAATTAATCAAACTATAGTTTGCTATTAAAAAATGAATTTATTCTTTTAATTAATTAATATAAATTTGTAATATTTTATTAATTATCAAATATACGATAATTAACAAAGAAAATAAAATACACTACAGTCAACTAATGTTCATATGAATCACTAGGGAAACAGTAGTTAGTTCACTTTATTAAAAGTTCATATTAATTATTTTTAGGGTCAAGGTCAAGATTATATAGTTTACAAAGTTAAGGATTAATAGGTGATCAAAATTTCTAAATTATAATATTTTGAATTAATTTACTAAAGTTAAATAAAATAAAATTTATTTACAAACATAAATTAATGATCTAAATTATTTTGAAATCAAACNTTCAATCTCCTCGTGACGAATGTGGAGTTTGTTTCTTCAGTTCTTCAAAAATTTCTCTAGCTTTCTCTTGAATGATAGTCATACTAGTTACATCTTTTTTCATTTCCCTTTCTTTTATCCAAATTAAAAGCAATCTCTCTATTTTTTCATGGATGAAACATCTTTGTTTCTCAGATGTGATTTTCGTTACTCCTTTAGCTCTTTGAGTCTTCTTGATTATATCTTTCTTAGCTAAGATTGTGCCTACTGTAGACCTGTTCAAGCCATATTGCCTAGCAGCATCAGACATGTTCTGCCCACTCTCTGGCTATTATCTCTTGCTTGATTTCTATGGTGAGCACAGTTCTTGACACTCTACTCTTTTTATGCTCCATAATATTATCAATTTCTGTTTGAAATAAAAAGTTCAGAAAAGCACACTCAAAAATTAAGAGAACAGAAATTAATGCATGAAAGAATTATGTAAATGTGAGGCCCGAATGTAATTTGAAATTTTGGTGTTAAAACTTTAATGAATACCTGATAGGACTGTTAAACTCTCACTTTTAGAAAATAAAAACCAATGCAAAACTTATGGAGTGCCTAACAGTCTTGTGAAGACTATAAACAAATCATTTGTCAAAAAAGTAAACAAAAAGCTGGAATTACAATGGAGAGTTTCAAAGTTTGGGGAAACACTATCCAATCAGTATCGGGTTGAGCGTCAATGTTGATGTCTCCTGCGCTCTGAAAGGTTTCGAATTGTTACCTGAAGACAGGAGAAAATCAATCGTATTCTTTATTTTCTGTTGCTTCTTTTTATGTTTGTTCAGTGAAGTGTTCGTTGTCCAATCATAAAAATCTTTCGCGAAAGTGTTTGTTATCCGATTTGTTCGTTAACCAATCACCCACTGTATTTTAAAAGTTAAAATTTGTATGGAATGTTCTATTTGTGAAACATTTTCTAAAAATGGATTTAAAAACCTGACGATGGCCTATTCAAGTAGGTTGAAAACATTTGTTAATAAAAAATTCCCTCAGAAAATGGACAGGTGTTGTAGTAAGTTTGTAATTTTAAAGGTAACTTTATGAATATATCTTACTAAAATTTATTTATCTTTTATTTTTTGTAATATAATTGAAGTTTGTACCTAAATAAATAAATAAATAAATAAATAAAAATATACATTCAAAATTTCTTTTCAAGGAAAATTATGTAAATGTTAAAATATTATAGCTTATATCATAATTTATAATTTTTTAGAAAACAAATTTTTATTAACATAAATAAATAATAATGTATAATGCTTCATAATGTTAATTTAACTTTTACAAAGCAGCAAAAGATATGCCTGAAACTATCTGGGACAAAAATAACAAACAAAAAAGAAAACCATATTAATAACCATCTCATAAAAGTAATATTATGAGCTTAGAAAATGAAATGCTATTTTTGTTTTTGTTTTTGTTTTCTTTTAAAAAGATTTAACTGTGTTAAGAGGAAAGAACTATAAACCAAGAAACAGAAAACAAAGATTTAAAGTAATTTTTGCATCATATTTTAGTTCAAGTTTAAGTATTGCATAACAATATCAAATCAATATAAAAACAAATTCTTAATAACAAAAAAATACAGAATCTGAATTAAACTCTACAATCATATAATTTCATGACATTTCTTTAAATAATTTATTAACTTCAAACATGTAGTTCAAAATGATAATTATCATAATTTATAATACTTAAAACAGTAAGTTAGCATATCTATACTAAATCTTAACAATAAAAAAAATAATATTTTCTGAATTGCAATAAATTTATAAAAATTAATAGTTTTACAGCCAGTTAACTCAATTGCAATTTTTTTTACTGTAATTTATATTCTTCCTTTTTTAAATCAGATGAAAATGGCAAAAATGCAAAGCAAGTAAAATATCTTAATGCTTATATCTATTGATCTATTACTCAAAATATTACTTACAATTTTTAGTTTAAAATGCTTTAAAAGTGTTTTGATGATTAATTGCATGATTCAATTTATATGTATCAAATTTTTTGGTCAAATTTTACCTACATGCACCATCATGGCCGCAGTCGCGACTATTCATGCTCCTGACTGACTCCTCCCAGAGGGGAGCTGCTGAGTGTATAACATCACTAGTTATTGATACATGTGTTCAAGAACTACCATGAATCAATAACAGGTAACCCCCGTATAACACGGGAGTTACGTTCTAAAAAATTGCCATGTTATGCAAATCTGTGTTATACGAAACAAAGAACTAGTGCGAAAAGGGGGGGTTAGGTTCCAAAAATAAAAAAGCATGCTGTTAAATCCTTATTTAAATTGGATTTATTATTCATTTTTTTCATAGGTAAAATACTTATTTATTATTTAAGTAAATATTTTACCAGAGGATTATTCATCCTATATGATGATCTCAGCATGAGCATTATCAACTGGTAACAGTTTTTGGGTGTGTTCAATAATAGCGGTCACTCTGCTGTTTGTAGGCATTTAGAAACAATGGTGAAATAAAGACGGTGGTGCCCGAACTATCGATAGTATCGTGATGGAGGAATCTATAATTCTAAAATAAGCTTTTAGAGGCAAAAGAAAGGTCCCAATTGTAAAATATAACCATTAAATGGATTATTTGTTGAAAGAGCATTCAAAGTAGCCATGAAAACAATTAGAATGCTCGTGCAGAGTTATGTGAAAGTATAAAAGAATACAACCTTTATTACATTTCATGTTGTACGAGGGTTTTACCCAATTCCCGAACAGTGTTATAAAACCACCGTGTTATACAGGGGATGTTCCCAATTCTCGAACCATGCTAGAGTGAATCCATGCTATAGAAGTGCTGTGTTATAGAGGGGTTACCTGTAGTACATTATACACTCAGCGTCTCCCCTCCAGGAAGAGTCAGTTGGGAGCACAAACAGTCGCAACCACTGCCATGATGGTGCACATACGTAAAATTTAACCAAATTTTTTTTTATGAATCTGGATATATTTAATTATATTCAATTTAATCTTTTGATCTTAAACTCAGCTAACATTAAATTGTACAATTTTACAATTCAAAATATATAAAAACATATTATATTACTTACCCTACTATTCCACAGAAATATTCTTTATAACCATCAATAGTTTCATGCTAAAAAGAAAATACATAGAAATATATTTAATAAAAATTAAAGGAACACTTATTTAATTTACATTTAATAAAACAAATTCTTTATTAACTTCAATAAATGATTAATTATAGTTTATACAATTTAAATTTTCATAAACTAGTAATGATTTTCTATGAAGTATTGATTTTTTTAAAAAATTCTAATAAAAACTTATAATTATATAATGTTGTCATGATTGAATAACCAAAAACATAACCTATCAATTTAATATTCTTTAACATTGAGAATACATTGAGTGGATGTGCAGAAATATAATACCCACAAATCCACTCACTGGTTTTGCAGGAACAACGTTGGAAGCTTTACACACAAAACTAAGAGTCTCTTCATTCACACTTAGCTGTCATTTCTTTTCAGGTCACCAACACTATCATCTTTTCAAACTTTATGTCATCAATCTTTAATGCTTTTCACATCTAGTGGTCCGTGTCCATACTCTATTTTGAACTTGTTATTCATACTTTACAAAATCATTGAACCACAATCAATGATTGTTTCTTTAAACACACAGCACATTGAACTTTCTCCTGCAAAGATGCTATTTTGATACTGGTGATTGCAGTGCCACCTATTCAGTATGTACAATATTAAAGCAAAAAAAAAAAAAATCAAACAAAATGAGGAAGAGAGAGTATTTATTGTTTAAGTGTGTAGTAGTATATCAGAATTGTTTAAACAAAACAATGATAAAAGAAATTCATAATTTTTTTCCTGTTGAAGATTGTTTGAAAAAGTAGATGATCTTTTTTGGTGCTAAAAGAGTAAAAAAAAAGGAGAAAATTTTGTTGTAAAGTAATCAAACCTGGCATCACCCTATAAACTCCAATATGGAAACTAGTATATGTTTGCTTTGAACTGCATCCATTTAAAGGGGTGGATGTCCTTAAACTTTAACCCCTATTTTCAGAGCATAGTAGAATTAACCACTAAAAGCAGATGTTTGAATTGCTCTACAATTAAAGGTTGAACCCATCTTTGATTACTAGGAGAAGAAAGTTATTCTACTTTGAGTAGAATAATTTTTTACAGCACCACTTTGCTTTTTACATTTTTCAATATGAATTAAAAACACAGTTATTCCTTGGGGTAGTGAAACTAATTTACTGTCCAGTTTAAGAATTCTAGTAAAATTTTTGTTCACTTTAATGTGTGAAAATTAATGTTATAACAATGGTGTTTTGCCAAGATGATGACAAAATTTGCATTAATGTGAGAATTCACTTTATCAATGTTCACTTTAAGTGACTTGACTATATAGGCCAATTTAGAACTATTTTTAAACTAATTTACACTATTTTTAAACCTTTCATTTTAAGTAATATATTAATGTAATTTCATATCATAATATTGATTCCTAAATGAGCAATAGGACAGATATTGTTGAGTTATTCAAGAATGAGATTTATTTATTCACCATAACAATTTTTAAAATATATTTTAATTGCATTAATATTTAATATTAATAAATAAATAAATAATTATAACATTTAATTAAATATTAATTAATATTTTACAAGTAAGAATTTCATTTAAAATAATTCCTGTTTATAATAAATAAATAAATAAAAATATACATTCAAAATTTCTTTTCAAGGAAAATTATGTAAATGTTAAAATATTATAGCTTATATCATAATTTATAATTTTTTAGAAAACAAATTTTTATTAACATAAATAAATAATAATGTATAATGCTTCATAATGTTAATTTAACTTTTACAAAGCAGCAAAAGATATGCCTGAAACTATCTGGGACAAAAATAACAAACAAAAAAGAAAACCATATTAATAACCATCTCATAAAAGTAATATTATGAGCTTAGAAAATGAAATGCTATTTTTGTTTTTGTTTTTGTTTTCTTTTAAAAAGATTTAACTGTGTTAAGAGGAAAGAACTATAAACCAAGAAACAGAAAACAAAGATTTAAAGTAATTTTTGCATCATATTTTAGTTCAAGTTTAAGTATTGCATAACAATATCAAATCAATATAAAAACAAATTCTTAATAACAAAAAAATACAGAATCTGAATTAAACTCTACAATCATATAATTTCATGACATTTCTTTAAATAATTTATTAACTTCAAACATGTAGTTCAAAATGATAATTATCATAATTTATAATACTTAAAACAGTAAGTTAGCATATCTATACTAAATCTTAACAATAAAAAAAATATTATTTTCTGAATTGCAATAAATTTATAAAAATTAATAGTTTTACAGCCAGTTAACTCAATTGCAATTTTTTTTACTGTAATTTATATTCTTCCTTTTTTAAATCAGATGAAAATGGCAAAAATGCAAAGCAAGTAAAATATCTTAATGCTTATATCTATTGATCTATTACTCAAAATATTACTTACAATTTTTAGTTTAAAATGCTTTAAAAGTGTTTTGATGATTAATTGCATGATTCAATTTATATGTATCAAATTTTTTGGTCAAATTTTACCTACATGCACCATCATGGCCGCAGTCGCGACTATTCATGCTCCCGACTGACTCCTCCCAGAGGGGAGCTGCTGAGTGTATAACATCACTAGTTATTGATACATGTGTTCAAGAACTACCATGAATCAATAACAGGTAACCCCCGTATAACACGGGAGTTACGTTCTAAAAAATTGCCATGTTATGCAAATCTGTGTTATACGAAACAAAGAACTAGTGCGAAAAGGGGGGGTTAGGTTCCAAAAATAAAAAAGCATGCTGTTAAATCCTTATTTAAATTGGATTTATTATTCATTTTTTTCATAGGTAAAATACTTATTTATTATTTAAGTAAATATTTTACCAGAGGATTATTCATCCTATATGATGATCTCAGCATGAGCATTATCAACTGGTAACAGTTTTTGGGTGTGTTCAATAATAGCGGTCACTCTGCTGTTTGTAGGCATTTAGAAACAATGGTGAAATAAAGACGGTGGTGCCCGAACTATCGATAGTATCGTGATGGAGGAATCTATAATTCTAAAATAAGCTTTTAGAGGCAAAAGAAAGGTCCCAATTGTAAAATATAACCATTAAATGGATTATTTGTTGAAAGAGCATTCAAAGTAGCCATGAAAACAATTAGAATGCTCGTGCAGAGTTATGTGAAAGTATAAAAGAATACAACCTTTATTACATTTCATGTTGTACGAGGGTTTTACCCAATTCCCGAACAGTGTTATAAAACCACCGTGTTATACAGGGGATGTTCCCAATTCTCGAACCATGCTAGAGTGAATCCATGCTATAGAAGTGCTGTGTTATAGAGGGGTTACCTGTAGTACATTATACACTCAGCGTCTCCCCTCCAGGAAGAGTCAGTTGGGAGCACAAACAGTCGCAACCACTGCCATGATGGTGCACATACGTAAAATTTAACCAAATTTTTTTTTATGAATCTGGATATATTTAATTATATTCAATTTAATCTTTTGATCTTAAACTCAGCTAACATTAAATTGTACAATTTTACAATTCAAAATATATAAAAACATATTATATTACTTACCCTACTATTCCACAGAAATATTCTTTATAACCATCAATAGTTTCATGCTAAAAAGAAAATACATAGAAATATATTTAATAAAAATTAAAGGAACACTTATTTAATTTACATTTAATAAAACAAATTCTTTATTAACTTCAATAAATGATTAATTATAGTTTATACAATTTAAATTTTCATAAACTAGTAATGATTTTCTATGAAGTATTGATTTTTTTAAAAAATTCTAATAAAAACTTATAATTATATAATGTTGTCATGATTGAATAACCAAAAACATAACCTATCAATTTAATATTCTTTAACATTGAGAATACATTGAGTGGATGTGCAGAAATATAATACCCACAAATCCACTCACTGGTTTTGCAGGAACAACGTTGGAAGCTTTACACACAAAACTAAGAGTCTCTTCATTCACACTTAGCTGTCATTTCTTTTCAGGTCACCAACACTATCATCTTTTCAAACTTTATGTCATCAATCTTTAATGCTTTTCACATCTAGTGGTCCGTGTCCATACTCTATTTTGAACTTGTTATTCATACTTTACAAAATCATTGAACCACAATCAATGATTGTTTCTTTAAACACACAGCACATTGAACTTTCTCCTGCAAAGATGCTATTTTGATACTGGTGATTGCAGTGCCACCTATTCAGTATGTACAATATTAAAGCAAAAAAAAAAAAAAACATACTACAAATCAGTCAAAATTATGCTACAAACTGCATGTTTTTATCTAACAATTTTTGTGCAATAAATGTTTGTAATCAGTGAAGATTTTATGATTATTCTGTATATAACATGGTAATGGTAATGGCAATGAGGATCATGACCATTATCTTTGGGGTGTGGGAGCTGATTTTGTCAACTGATACCAATAGTTCATACAAAATGCCACTCAAAAAAGCTTCTTTCCTCCCTCCATTCCTCATGCCTTCATTATTCTGCTGTATTTCTCTTAATTCCTAAAAATATATTATATTGTTTTTTGGTAGTGTAACTTTGCTATTCAGCAAAATTTACTGATATTGAGAACAAGATGTCTCCTCAAACTCCCTAACAGCTTCAGCCCTGGTGAGGACACACTATTAATTTATCATTGCAATTACACATTTATATTTATTTATTATTTCATTTCATAAAATAATTTAAAACTTTGTAAATGAAACAAAATGTTTAAATAATTTCCTCTAAATTTTTACAATGACAACAATGATGATAAAATCAATTTTAAAAAATTAAAAGAAAACTACTTTTAGCTACTTTTTTTTTACAAAATCAATTTACCATATTTGTTGGAGGCTGAAAGGCTAATCGAGCTTGATGTTTCCTTTGTTGCCTATAATACATTTCAAAAGTTTCACGTGCTCCCTAATAAAAAAAATTCAAACTTTTAATTATATCAATTTACTAGAAAAGTCTAAATATAATTTTTATATTTTAATTTTCCAGAAAAATTATTTATGCAAATTAGTAAAGACATTTTTCTCATAAAGAATTAATCCAAGAAAACATACCATGAAATACATTAATTTAAATAAAACTTACTAAAACTGAATATATGTGAAGACAGCGATAAACAGGAGAAAAATCAACTTTGTCTTGAGCACTTTCTTTTCCATCAAAATTTGAGCTATCTGCTTCTTCTTCTAATTCTGCTTCTACTTCTCCTGTAAAAGGATTTGGTGGTGGAGGTGCCTTGCGTTTCTTTTTTTTTCTTATTAGAACTACCTCTATATTCTGTTGTTCAGCTGTCTACAATTTAATATATAATATTTTTATTTCTGTCCGTAATTTTAATATTCTAGGATTAAAATGACATTAAAAAATATATACAGTAATACCCCGACTTACGCGAATCCGGAGTTACGCGATTTTCAAATCTCGTCGATTTGTCTTTTGTTTGAGCGCCACGCAACTCTTAATTATTCATTTCCCCCCACACTATTGTTTGGCTTACATGTTCGGACGTGTTCAACATATAGCTACAATTTATTTTGTGTTATTTGTATGTATTTATATGCAAAATTATACCCCGACTTACGCGAATTTGACTTACGCGGTTATCGCTCGGTCCCACCTATCACGTAAGTTCGGGGTATTACTGTAATAATAATAATAGAAAAAGTATCTTACATGTCTCATAGCTAATTCTCCAATACTTGCAGATTCTTCTCTAATGTTTTCCAAAAAGTCTTTCAAATCTGATATAGAAGCTTCTTTAATGTGCTCCCTGTGACGAGGTATTGTAGATCTCATAGTATGAGCAAATCGATACCTAGAAACTCTCGGAAGAAATGTATGTTCTAATTGTTCTAATGTCTTCAGAGCTGGATAATATCTGATAAAAAAAATAAGATAAATCTTTATATAAATGTACAATATTATATATTTTTTCTAAATTTATATACAAATTACATTCCTTTAAAATCAATATATATTGTGTAATAAGTCATGTTTCATTTAATTTTCTAATCCCAATGTAAATAAATTACAGAAATTCCACAATAAAATATGTTCCTAACAGCATGTTTCTAATTTCATAACATAAATAACTACAAACTGTTTTTTGCTTTAACTATTTAACTAAGTACAAACTATTTTTTGCTTCATTTTTGCAAACTATTTCATAACATTTAAATAAGTACAAACTAATTTCTATTAATATTTATTGAGATGTTTAAATAAAAACTCCATTTTTTAAGTAATTAAACATTCAAGTGATAACTTTTGTATATATATATATATAAATTGTTCAAATTAAATAATATCAGTTGTTATCCAATTAAAACATATTTAATATATTTAGGAAATAAAAAAATCTTATTTTTAAATTGTTTAAGGAACTTAAAAATTTATTTTAAAATGAGGACACTTCAATTTATGAGGATTCTTCAATAATGTCAAAAATGCCTGAAGATGAATGTCCCATTCAAAAATATTAGCACTTTCAATTTCCTTATGCAGTTTTCAAGATAATTTGTAAATTGGAATGTTAATTTGGAGCTATTTAAAATTATCATCATCAAATCAAATCAAATCTGATTTGAAAATTATTATTATTATGAAAGCTTATTCTAGAACTTATGTTAAAATAATCTTTATACCTTTTTTCTTTCATTTGTTGAGAAAGTTTTGCATACATTTCTAAAACAGGTTGACAGAGACCTAAACTTTCTATTGCACAAGCTATATTATACTGAACTTTTCTATATTTTATCAATTCCTCTGCTTTTTGTAAAACTTTTAAACTTGAATCTTGTACTTCTTTATCTGTTTGCAGTACTTCATTCTGTTAATGCAAAATATAGTTATTGTGACTTTATATTATTATTATGATAAATGATATAATAATAAAAATAATAATGATAAAAATTGATAGTTTGAGATCAGAAAACTTTATCTAAATCAATAAAAATCTCTCTCTCTAATATCACTAATTTAAAATACAGAAAATAATTAGATTAAAATACAATTTTTAAAAATTTGTTTATATTTAAAAATTGTATGTGTTTCTAATAGTATTTTAATAACTAAATGTAGATTCTATCAATAGAAATCTAATGTAAAATTTGGGGATAATGTTTCCATATTATCTCCAACTATGAGTAAATATAGTTAACTAAGCATAAAAAAAAAATACTTTTCAATTAAGCATAAACTTAATAGTTATTATCAAAGTTAAATAGGTCTAATAAACCAGAAAAATGTATTTAACATCATTATTTCAACTTTTGACTTATATATGATTTCTTAGGAGTATATTTAATTCATTAGTCTTTAATGTATCAAATATTTTCATATATTTCATCAATTATTTTGAGATGGAATATTTATTTCACATTATATAAATAATCATCATCATAATGACAACTGTTTGTTTACTTAAATTTTATATAATTCTACATGAATCAACAAAATGATACTTAGATAGAATCAAAAATAACAGGATAAAATATATAAAAATTGCATATGATGCAAATAAAATGCAATGCTATTGGATGTAAGCCACGCTACTGTTAGTTCCCCAGACATCCTGAGGCTATTTGCTTTTGCTAAAATCCACAAACCAGGCCAAAATTTATGTTCAATTGTAGATAAAGTTAGATTCCCTATGATTCTATTAGATAGAGAATACATCATGTGCTAGAAGAACACCTGAAAGGTTATCCTTACACCTTATCTGACCTGAATGATCTAATATCTAGGTTAAAGGCCATTAAACTAACAGGTGAAGAGTGCTTCATGGTATTAGACTTTGTGTCAATGTACTCCTCCATCAAGCTTGAACAGTGCTTTCGTATGTTAAGAAATTTCCTATTGCAATATACACATAATTCACATAAATATCATAAGCATATCCTTGACCTAGAACACTTACTATAGTTACTTATCCTCTTTCATTTTTAACCAGAATGCATAATTCAAACATTTACAGAACTGAGGAGTTCAGTAAATGGAGTTCTGATGTGTAGTGCCTGGGATTTATTTGAATTGGTCATCTGTTCATGAACAGCAAATCCTAACAAAATTTCTACCCACCATACTAATATACACTAGATATACTGATGATATTTTAATAATGTGGAAAACTAAGCCTAATATCAGGGAGCTAGTACATGCTTTTAACAACAACAGATATGGTTTAAGACTTAAGTTAGAACAGTCTAATCCATTACTTGGATCTAGAGATCAAACTATGCAATGGAAGGGTCTACACACAGGTTTATCATAATACCAACCTTTTTTCATTCCATCAAACTCTAATAACTTTAGAAGCTATAAAACAGCAGCATTTAAAATGCATATAAAGTATGCCCACACCCACACAATAAACATATAGCATATGAGATATACTTTATTAAAAACATAGCTACAAAGCATGGCTACAGTATGAAGCTCATCACCAAATTACTTTATATCTCGGCAGATAAGACGATAGTTGAATCATAAAAAAAGACCCCCCAAAATCCGGGGTCATCTTATAGGACAGATACAAAAACAAATTAGATTGAAATTTATATAAATTAAAACCATTATAAAAAGATAGACAAATCTTAATTATTTACTAGAAGTGAGGAGGGTATGTGCACAAAATAGAATAGTCCATATGACTTTTTGTGAATAGTCAAGGTCATTACCCGAATGCCGAATCAGTGCCAATGTTTGCAACAATTGCAAGGCAGTGCTGCCAGATGCAAGAAAACAAAATTTGTTCCTTCAAAAAATTACAAATAGGACATAATTCCATGTACACTATACAGTATTATTATTCAGATGATGATTGCTGATCTAAGCTAAATTCATAGGCTGTTGATAGTTTGGGGATCATCTTATAGGACAGATATATGCTAAAACTATAAAACTTCAACAAAAATTTATACCTCGTCTTATCTGCCAAGATATACAGTAGTTAGAAATATAAAAATGAATATAGTCAACAATACATGCATGGCTAAGCAGCTTATAATCCAAGATCAGACATACTTAATCCTAGAGTACAACACAAGGGAACACAAAGTATACTCTAGAATAGCTAGGGAGAAAAACAAAGATACTGCATATAAACAAAACCTATCAATCTTACATTTACTAACAAATGGAAATGACTCTATAGTAGGTCCTACTATAGATACAATTAATCCCTACTATAGTAATACGATTAAATAATACCAATACCACCAATTTACTGGTATTACTTTAATTATACAGCAACAAAGATGTAGCTGTGTGTAAACAGTGCTGTAGACAAATAAAAGCAACAAGTGAAAATACTAGTAGATTACATAGCCATCTTAAGAGCCAATACAAATTTAATCTATTGAAAATAAACAACCAAGAAATTACAGAAGTTTCCAACAAATCTGCTTTGACTGCAATTGATACACAATTAAAAATTACTTCTTTTTTCAAGAAGAAAATTGATGAATCTCTTGAAGCTGTACTTTCACAAATGACAGCAAAAGATGGAATTCCTTTTATAAAATTTGTACTTCTGAAGATTTGCAAATGTTACTAAAGAAAAGGCTATAAATCCAAAGACATTCCAAAATCACCAAACACTTGTAATGCAATACGCTGATAAAATTAAGCAAGAAGTATTGAATGAAATATTACAACTTAAACTTGAACTGCATATAGCTTAATAATAGATGAGTGAATATCTAGTAATATAAAAATCGTCATTATATTAATATTCATGGAAATGACAATAAATTTTGGAATCTTGGCTTGAGTCATATTCACGGATTTGCAATTGCTGAGGTATGTGCAGAATTAATAAAAAATAAATTTAAAAAATTTAATATCTCTTTCATTTATTTATTTATTTATAAATCTATTTATGTTATACAGACAATATTTAACACAAATATTGGCTGTATAACATCGGGCAGAGCTGTCATAATGAAGAAAACAATAAAATTAATTAATAAAAATCATCAGTTACGCCTCACATATGGACATAATTAATTATAAAAGGTCTTTATAATGTGAACAAAATAAATAAACAGTATGAAAATCAATATAATGCTAATTTACCACTGGCTACTGATTCTGATAATTCAGATATGGAAAATGAAGACAATGTCGAAAATTATGGTGAAACTTTTGAAGTAAACCAAGAATAAGATTTATTTGGAACCAAACTTGTTTTACAAAATTCAGAATTATATTTTTTAATAACAAAAATACAAAAAGTAGGAAGACTTTTTAGAAAATCCCCGACAAAAAATGATGATGACCTACAGAAATATGTGAGAGAGACCACAAGTAAAGAATTTTCTTTAATTTTAGATTGTAAGACTTGATGGAACATCCTATAAAGAATGCTAGAACAATTTTCATTTCTTAATGATGCTATTCAAAAAAGTCTGATAGATTTAAAATTAGACATAGTAATTCTAGTTCTTTGTTATTAAAATCTATCTAATATAATCTCAGCCTTGTAACCTATAAAGTTGGCCGTTGAAACACTATGCAGTGAAAATGGTAATTTATATGTAGCCAATGTTACATTAAAATTTATGCTAGATGAATTAAGTAGCCAAAACACATTTTTAAGCATTGAACTGAAAAAAGCTTTAATATGCTTTAATTAATAGCAAACAGAAAGACAAACTTACTATTCAGATGTGCTACACTACTTATCAGACTCTAATCTGAATATTTCAGAGAAGGAAAATTATGGAATTTTTTAATCTAAGCAGTAAAGCCACAATTATAAAAATGATTGCTGATGTTGTCGAAAGCATCTCATACAATAAAACAGACTCTGGTGATAATAATGACTTAAGTGGTTCGGATAATGAAATAAAACTCCAATGCCAACTGCTGGGTTATCTATGAAGAAAAAGCTTAATATGTTGATAAAACTAAAAACGAAGTACCTCAGGAAAAGTCAGTTATAAAATAAAAGAAAACCAAGGAGCTGAAACAGGTAATAAAAAAGAATTGGATTGTTTTCAACAAGAAAAAGTAAGGAAGAAGTACAGTACATTCAAATAGTTTTTGATTATTTAATGATCATCTGACCAACAAGTGTGGAAGCTGAGAGAGTATTTTCAGCAGCTGGATTGTTTTGCACCAATTAGGAGACAAAACTTTGGATAAGTTAAGCTTTTTGTGAATATACTTTATAAAAAATGTTAATTTATAAAAAAAAAATGTTTATTATATCTGTAGTAATCTTTGTATGCTTACATTTTAATATTGTAGTTTCTTTTATATTTTTTATTAATATTTTTATAAATTGGTTATTAAAAAATTTAAATATTGTTTTGTAATTAAAAAACTAAATGGAATATTTTATTAGTGTTTAAATGTTTACATTTATTACTATCCAATATTTTGTGTTTGAAATAAATGTAAAGCACAAACCAAAAATTGTTGTATTTATTACCTTTAACATGTTATTTTTCAGAAAAAATTTACCAGTATTCAAATTTTTATTTATCGAATTACTAGTAAATGAAAAAGTTGATAAATTTACAAACCCTACTCTATAGACAGCAGATGGGCTCCAAGTGTATATAAAATTCCACTAGATACCAAGTTTGAATGATGTCTTGACTATACTGACTCAACTAATAGATCATTAATAACCAGAATTAGGAAACATATGGATGACATCACAAAAATGAATTGTAACACTGCTTTGGTCCAATTTTCAAGTGAACCCAGGGTGTCCCTGTGTGGAGGTTAAGCTTCTAAGCTCCTTCAATGTACAACAGATAAGAATAACAAAAGCTATCAAAATTTATAAAGCAATACTCAAGACATTGCATTAATATTAATAGTAAAATAAGCATTAACCTATTGCAAGCATGGTAAGGAATGATATGTTACCTCTAACTATAGCAAATCTTAACACAACATTGTAAATTTTGTCATCTCAATCACTAGTTATTAATATGTGTGTTACCACATTTAAAATTTTTTCTAGTTTATCTCCAGTCGTATTATGGAAAGTTATAATAAAAATTTGTAAACTATGTCTATATCATGTTTCATCTTTACATATGTTACATTTTATTTTATTGAATGTGAATATTGTCATGTTATGTACAGAAAGTTCTTTTTTAAAAAGTTGTTCAAATAATAGCATTCAGTTTATGAAATACTTATAACAATCTGATAAAAGATCTCTAAAAGTGATTAAAAACATTTGTTTTTTTTTCAAATAAATGGAACCTGCTGCAACCAATATGGAAGATGCCTGTGAATGTTTTATTGCAATATGTTTCAGAATGAAATTCAATCAAAATAAAAACAACTTACATTTGATGAAATGTAATTAAATATTCAACTTCACCTAATAACTAAATCTAAACTCTAATGATGGAAATCTAACATTTGACATTGAAAATGTTACAGTAGACCCCCTATAACACGGGTTCCTATAATTACAATTCCTATACGACGGCGAAAAAATTGCGACGGTATCCGTACAAACCTGGTAAAAAAACTCCTATAATTCGGTAAAATGTCATCGGGCAGCCAAACTACTTTCCGCCGTCCAGCATCATGCTATGGAGAATTTAGGCAGGTGAATTGAGTTTACTATCATCTGTACAGTATTATATATAAATTAGGTACTGTACATATAATTATATATTAACTTAATTTATTGTAACTTTATTATAATTACATATATACTTTCTGCCGTCCAGCGCCACGCTATGAAGAGTTTAGGCAAGTAAGTTGTTTACTATCGTCTGTATAGTATGTAAATTAGGTACCATAAGTCGAATACAGTACTGTACTTTTATACATTTCTTGTGAAAGAAACATTTCTTATTCAACGGCCATAAAAATTATTTATATTAATGATGTCTCCAAAGTTCAACGAAGTTTTCGCAGAAAAATAACTTATCAGAAATCGCCCGCCGTTTGGTGCGCTGCTCCGCAACGAAAACAAGCTTGAGCAATGGCGACGTCGAACAATGCACACTCAGTAAGTAATCCTACAATTTTTTGTTTATAGTGTAGTTTATACGGATTATTCCCCCCAAAAAATATACATATTTTGGAAATGTTGAGTCGAATTAGTCTAGAATTGATTAATTTTATGGAAGAAAACCTTTCAAACAGCTGTAGTCCGTAAACTTCACACATGTCGGGCTGTGATTGGCAAGGACTCGTAAGAAATCGATTCATAAAGAACGGAACATATCTACCGTGTTATAGGGGGTCGACTGTATTTAACATTAAGAACAAAGAAGAAATTGCATAATAAATTTGAAAAAAAAAAAAAAAAGGTACCAAATACAGCATTTAAAAGCAGTTAAATAAATTCAATATAAATTACATATACAATATTTATAGTATCTAAAAAATTGATAAATTTACAATTTTTGATGCTAAATTGTTTAGTAATCTCATTTTTATTTGCCATTTCTAATTTGTCTCATGTAAGAATTTTTTATGACAGTGTGGAGAGTAATAAAGATGAGTAAAAAACAGTACATTATTTTAACTGAAAATTCAAAGTTTCTATTTTATTCTAAAAATTGTGTTTTTTGATGATTTTATATTTTATTTTAAGAAAAACAGCTTGAATTAGAAGTGAAAGTGTTAATCATAATCTTTTGACTATATAATTAACATTGAGAAGTATTATTTTATCCAAAATAGCTGATTATCTATTAAAATCTCATTTCTGCAATTTTTTAATTAATAAAGCATTTAAAGTAAATTTAAAAATAATGTAACTAAAATAGATTGTCAGAAAATTAAATATAACTTAAAAAATGTCATAAAATAACAAATTGCAAATTTACAATTTCTTAACTGTGTTACAAAAATAATTTTCAGATTGAGAAACTGATAGACTAGAACTAATGAGAGAAAAAGAATAAAAAAAAAATGTTTTTTTTTCATTCTCTTTTCATTTCTTTCTCCTATTTGTTATTCTATCTTTTACATTAAAGTAATTAAAATACTGAGATACTATTCCAGATATTCATCTTAAAAAATGCACAGGCATACTTTCTTTAAGATGCTTTGTTAATATGACATGTTTATTATTTTCAGGATTTGCTTAGTCTTAAAAGTGTTTTGAAATTTATTAATTATTTTTACTTATTCAAAAGTAAAATATTTTATTAGGCTTTTTATTAAACGGGTAATAAGTGCTAGCACCACTGCACATTTAATAAATGATAATGAGTATGTTTTCAGACTTTTATTGATACATACATTGGCAACGAAAAAAGCTGATTCGTTTTAAGATAATATTTACTTTATAACAGTAGTCTAAAACCTAACATACCAAATTAATGAATTATACCTGTATTATTTTAAAAATAATGTTGAAAATAATATAATCTTATATTAATTTGTAATGCTTGCAAATTAAACTGTATATTTAATAAATTGTCCCATGGTTGCTGTTAATTATATTATCAATAAAGATATAGAGAAAATTTTCAATATAATATTTATTTATTTATAATATAATAGTAATACGTTAAATATGTAAAATATGTAAAAAATTACCTTTAACTTTTGCGCCTGTGTTCTAACCTGTAGAAGTTCTCGAATAGAATCAATAAATCCCTGATAGTGAGCATTGCACATTCTTTCGATATCTTTATCATGATTTTTAATTCGGGCATCCAACCTGTCCATAAATTTTTGATGTTCGTCTCCATCATAGATCGCTCTTAAACAAAATGTAAGAATATTATAAACACAGAAAATAATATTAAATAAAAAATTATATATCTGATTACAACAAATATAACTTTATATATTATATTAATGAGATTTATTACTAGAATTACAGTAGTTGTAATACTCACAAAATATTATTAGAAATAGAACAGTCATTAAACAGATCATCTACCAGTAAACATTCCATTATTTACTTTTAATACATTTGTTAAACTGTGTATAATATTTGAAAACACATGAAATAAATATTCCAGAGGAAGTGTTTGATTGAAATGAAACAGGATAAGACTCACAAATAAACAGGAAGTCAAGCAAGACTGATTTTAGTTCTTAAGAATTTTGCATCAATTTTAAAACTAGATAAATATTTTTGCTGGGTCATTGTTACTTGTACTAAAAATGGAGGTTAGTAGCAAATTTTTATTTCATATTTTATTTTATTAAGAACAATTTATTAACATTTAATCCTTCATTAATACATTTAAAATATGTATTAATGAATATAAAATGTTAAATAATTTTACACTTTAAATTTTTTTTTTAAATTGCATTGATAACACAATTTTTAAGCCTATTAATAACTATTTTATTTTATAAATATTTACTAAATTAATAAACATAATGAAGAAAATAAATATAATATATGTTAATTATAAATTATAATAGTGTAGTAACTTAAAGGATCAAATTAACTATTACTTAAAATTAGTTATTTTGTAATAAATGCTAAGAAACGTAGCAAATACTTTAAAAGTATAAAAATTACTCAATTAAATAACCAGCTTTATTACATACAACTTGATAGATTCCATATTATCAAATTAATAAGTCTATCGTTTACTTCAGATATCAGTTTTACAGGTTTTCATGAGACAGATAAATTTCTTTACCATAATACTTGCAGTTTAAAGTCATTATATATTATTTTATATATTATTATTAT